CAGGACAAAAGGTAACAATGCGCACGCGTTATAGCACTATTGCAAAATCTTTCTGTTTTCGCAAGGTACTCTAAAAAACGCCAAAAGAGCTCGTACTTTTCTATGAGAAGATCATGTGGTGTAAAACTTCGTGTCCAAAACAGCCTCTGTAAAGTGTTTTTTATTAATACCATTTCCTTTGGTCATTCCTAATTTTCGTGCTGGAAAACGCAAAACACCGTACACACAATCTTGGACAAAACTGTTGAGAAAATGTCACATTCTCAGACCATTTTTCCTAACATTCTCGCTGTACCGCGTCCTCCCTTCCCCCCTCCCCCTGGAAGCAATGTTGTTGTGTGTTCTAAAGCAACCCTGATCCTTAAACATTTGTAGGAAACAACATTGACCTGGGGGAAGGGGAATTTGGTACCGCAAATCAGTTGTTTTTGAAATAGTGTTGTTGTGTTACATAGTGTGCAAGGAGGGGTAAAAATTCTCAAGTAGTTTTGTCCGGGATTGTAGCTTTCTATCTAAAAACACCATGTCATGACGACGATGTTCGATTCCGCGATCATCATCATCATCATCATCTTGATTACTGTTATTATTTTCTTTTCTTCTTTCTTTATTTTCTTTTGCTTAGTGGGATAACTGGGAGTTCGTCAAACCGTTTTTATCAATATAAGTAGCATTACTAAAATAATCCTTGATATAAAATTCCTGCTTAGTTATTTATGGATTAAACAGGTTTTCGTGAATTTTGATTAAAACTTCCTGCTGTTCTTTACTGCTAACTGAAAATGGACGCTTTCATTCTCGCTTTGCCCATAGGCGTACGGGCAATCGAAAGTATTCTTACATATGAATCTATCATATGAGCGAATAAAACACATCATAAAACGATGTCTTTGCCATTTTGACGGCCGAAAATAGCAATGATAAGATCCATGTCATGATTGTTGACTCGGCATATGCCCTTTCAGTGTTAATAAGTGCGATGTTACTGACACGTTGTTGCCCATGGTGAGCTGCGGAGATACGTTTTCAATCTACGCAACGCACTGAATGATCGTTCTGCACAACAAAATGTAGCAGGCATCAGTCTAAGGATATGTACCGCATTAGGAAGCACTGGAAACATATCAAATAGATCATTTTCGTGCATTGTCTTCAGCATTTCTGGAACAGTCATGTAGCCTAATCCGCGCACACGACGAAAACTCGCGTACATTTTCTGCTCAGGCTGGAGATATCTCGCCGTCGATTTTGTAAAATTTAGCAACGCGGGAGAAGCTTTCGTTATCAGGTGTTTCACTACGAGAGATGTTTCCCAAAGCACAGAGTATTTACTGATCATTTCCGCTAAACCTGAGCTGAAGGTTGGACAGCGCCTTGTCGATGGACGCATAGTAAATGTAAATATGTTAAGCCTGCGCCACAAACGAAACTGTACTCTGGTTAAGTCCGTCTGTGAAACAGCGCTGATATCCTTGTTGAGTACGCGCCATGATTGGCCTTTTAAAAAAGCCATTGTCGATTTACCAATGAAGATAAAAGGAAATTTGAGACGCACTTCCGGTAATTCGTTCACTCCGTTGGTGGTGGGGGAGGGGGGGGGGGGTTGTGGAGGGGGGCAGAAAAGGCTTTACTAACAGGGGTTAAACCACGTGTGTGACGCAGGCTATACGGTGGTGCGATTCCGGTGTCAGCTGCGTTTGTGTTTTGCGTGTTCACCTACAAGGGCTTGAAGGTGGCGCAATGGCGTTCGTCTGAGTGCCCTGGCTTCTCGTAATTCAAACTTCTTCTTTTTCAGACCCCGGCTGATGTTATATGCCATACGCGGTGGAAACGTTCTTCGCTCCGACACTGTCATAGTTGGCACTATTTATCGACCGCACGATGAAAATGTAAATAACTTTTTGGATTCATTGCGAAAATTGTTGTCCACTACTTCTAGAGAGAATAAGATCTGTTATGTCATGGGCGATTTTAATTTACGGATCTTTTACGGCATGAGTTACATGCAATTACAGGAGAATTTGTGGAGCTTCTGTTTTCTCACCTACTTTACCCCACGATCACAAAGCCCTCCCGTATAACATCTAACACCACCTCTCTTATTGATTATATTTCCACTAATAACGTTACTTGCAATGTGTGTTATGATTTTAAATTATTTGGATAAAAAGTCGATGTACATAGGACTGTATAAGACTCCAAATAAAGCATTGTCTTATCTTGTCTTGTAAACAATTTTCGTTCCTCCTTAGAACGTGTTGATTGGGAGAATCTTGATAAATCAGATGCCAGTTCAGCCTCTGAATCTTTTGCTAATGAATTCAGTGATTTATATAACAAAAACATTTCTACCAAAACCATTCAAGTTAAGTATCGTGTTCAAAATCATGTCGTAACCCTTGGCTCACTACATGTAAAAGCCTTTTGAAATCCATAAGAACAGAAGCTAAACGTTACAAACAATTTCTTTGAACCCAAGTGTCGCTGTTGAAAAGACTTATAATACTTTTAAAAATAACTAAAATAACCTAATACGGATTGTGAGACAAAATATATAGATTTATATATATGATCATAACCTTGTAGCCTCCAAAAATGATACAAAAACTACATGGAAAGTAATTAATGAGGTACTTAATAAACGCAAGTCTAAACTAACCTACCCCTCTTGTTTTAAAAGTAGTTTTGAGCTTATCTCAGATCTCACTTCTATTGCTACCAGCTTTAGCAAGTATTTTTCTAACATTGGTCCCAATCTAGCAGCTGGGATCTCACCCTCCACTGCTAACTTCAGAGGTTTCTTAAGCCAAACCACACAAACACCTTTGGAATTTCAGCGTCTCGCAGCTGATAAGCGTAAAGCCATAGAACATAGTCTTAACTCTTATAAAGCTTCTGGGGTGGATAATATTCCAATGAGAATAATTAAACTCAGTATCGACATCATTGTTAAACCCTTAACTGAAATTATTAAGCTATCTTTAGTAAGTGGGTGCTTTCCTGATACCCTAAAAATCGCAAAAGCTCTCCCTATTTTTAAAAGTGGTGATCCAGAAAAGCTTGAAAATTATCGGCCCATTTCCATTCTTCCATCTTTTTCTAAATTTTACGAAAAAGTAGTTTATAATCGTATCTATAGATACTTAAAATATCCTAATCTTCTTTATAAAAATCCGTTTGGATATCGTAGAAATCATTCTACGTATATGGCATTGATTCAGTTGGTTAATAATATTGCTTCTGCCATCGATAACAGAGAATCGACTGCTGGAGTTTTCTTGGACCTTTCGAAAACGTTTGACACTATTGATCACCATATTTTGCGCAATAAGCTCGATCACTATGGTATTAGAGGGCAGTCTTTTAATTGGGTCTCTAGCTATTTGACAAACAGGAAGCAGCTTGTTCAGTTTACTTCAGCATGTTCTTAAGAGGAACCAATTGTGTGTGGTTTTCCCCAAGGATCAATTTTAGGACCTCTTTTGTTTATTATTTATATTAATGATCTCCCTAATGCGTCTAATCTGTTAAAGACTTTTTTATTCGCGGATGATACTAGCCTTTTTTATTCTCATAAAGATCCTACCCAGCTCATTCGTGTCATGAATTGTGAATTATCAAAAATATCTGAATGGCTTAGAGTGAAACAAATTATCACTCAATGTCGCCAAAACAAGCTATATTCTTTTTCGACCCAGGCAAAAACACATTGCTGTTAGTGATACAATTACGCTAGATAACATTCCTGTGCAAAAAGTTGAAGTGACAAAGTTTCTTGGTGTTTAATTAAATCGGCATCTTTCTTGGAAATATCATATAAATCATGCTACTAAAAAGTCTGAAAGACAATAATTATATAGGAATCATTCATAAGTAAAGCACGTTTCTTTCTTCATTCTAAATCTTTGTTAACCTTATACTATACATTGGTTTACCCGTATCTTAACTACTATAAATAAAATTGCATGGTGCTCAACGTATCCATCCAATTTGAATAAGATTCTATACCCACAGAAACGCATTGTCAGAATCATTTGTGGAGCTGAATATCTTGCCCATACTGCACCTCTTTTCCGGACTCTTAAAAAATCCTTGACATTTTTAAAATTAATGCGTTCTTTGCTGCGTGTTTTATGTACTCATATCACAATAACTTCCTTCCTGATACGTTTAACACCACTTTTGTTACTAATCGCCAAGTACACACATATAATACTCGAAATGTTGATAACTACCGACCTTATGTCTGTAGAACAAACATTAAACAGTTCATAATCCTTCATCTAGGACCTAAACTATGGAACTCCCTTCCCCGTAATCTTACGGAACTGACAAGATACTCTCGTTTCAAGACCTCATTAAAAAAGTACCTCATCGAGAGAGCTATAAATTAAACTCGCCCGACCATGATATGGCAGCTTAGATTAAATCATAATTAAGTATGAGGAGCCCAATTTTCTACAAGCTATTTAGCTTCTATTGGGCTCCCTCGCCACTCTATATATTGCAAAAAGCGGTTAAGTCACTTAATATTACATTTAATTTTGAACTTTTTTTTTTTTTTTTTAACTTTTCCTGTTCTGTAAATTGTGCAATCTTAGTAATAATATATATATCTCTTCATTTTCTTTCTATAATATTTATTCTATGTGGCAAATATAAAATAAATTAATTAATAAAATAAATTAATAAATAAATTCCCCACACCAGCTAGTGCAGTGCAGCACAGTGCCCAACAATTACAAAACTACGAAAATGTCCCTTCACTAATAACCAGAAAGTCATAACGTGCTAGCCAATTACTGTCTCTTGTGAATGTAGCTGGTTTAAATAGAAAACATCTATCTCTTCGATATAATAAAAAGATTTTGAAACTTCTTTAAAAACCAAATTTGCCCAAATTTCTCTTTCTGCCCAAAAAATCTGAGTTGCCAAAAATTTGGGGGGGCCTGCAGCAGTCCCCGCCCCCCGGCCCGTACACCTATAATAGGCCATGGCTCGTCTTTTTAATTACACATCTTTACTTTCAGAAATCTATACTGAGTCATGGTTTTCCAGGCATTCCAGGGTCAAATGGCATGCCGGGAATGCCCGGCGTGCCTGGGCCGCAGGGACTCCAGGGAACAGAAGGTCCAAAAGGGCAAATTGGTGATAAGGGATCGCAAGGAGTGCAGGGTCCAAGAGGAGACAGAGGGCGCGAAGGGCCTCCCGGGAAGAGCGGACCGCCAGGAAATATGGGAATGAAAGGTGAATCGGGGCTTGTGGGAATGAAAGGAGAGCCAGGCATTGTGGGAAATCAAGGAAGAAAAGGAGACAAAGGAGAGAAAGGAGAAAGCGCCAAAGCAAGTCAAGCAAGTGTAGTACCACAAACCAACTGGAAACAATGTGTGTGGAAATCAGCCAACGGTGCTGATAGCGGAAAGATTAAGGTAAACAAGAAACGCACTAAAAACTAAACACGAACTATTTATAATTACCACAGATAATGTCCATAGGTGGAAAGAGATCGAAAATCCGTTTTTCTGAGATAAATTTAAAAGTACAGCTATGACCTTGACCTCATTGTCTCAGCCTTCATCACCAATCAACCTTTCTCCAGCTGGCCGGCATTAATTTTTGTAGAAAAATTTGAAACGGCAAACGTATACTTACGGCAAGGCGATGAAGAAGTAGACAAGAGAATAATACAAAAAATATATATATTTAAACAAATTGCTCAATATTTCGGTTTGAAAACAAACCTTCTTCAGGGGCTAAAAGAAAAAAAAAAAAGAAAAGAAATCTTAAAGTTCGTTACAAATAAGAATTTGTGGACTCGCTGTTATTTTATATATTAATTTTTGTGTTATCTAGCATTAGTAAAGTTGCGGACATTTTAATCGTTTTTTTTTTTTTTTCTAGGACTGTGCCTTTAACAAGTTGAAATCGGACACAGCGCTCAGAGTCTCATTCCAGGGAAACATGTATGTCTATGGTGATGCTAAGTGTAACCGGTGGTATTTCAAGTTCAATGGAAACGAATGCCGTGGACCAATGACGATTGAGGCCGCTGTTTACAACGACTGGTCATCTGGGAACCCTGATCTGTTCCATCATCGGTCATTTAAGGGGTATTGTGAAAATATCTCACAAGGAGCGGTTAGAGTGGAATTATGGGTAGGACGATGTAGTGGCAGCACCTTGGGTAATGCTTACACTGGCTGGAATTCAGTGTCCCGGATAATGATAGAAGAAGTATCTAGGCCCCAGTCCTAATAAGAGCTCTCCCTCCTTTCCGTGGTTTCCAAAAGAAATTTAAAAGGGTTAGCTTTCCAAGAAGTTTTTTTTTTTTTCCTGCGAGGACTGAGTTTTGTGTGAGTGTGTGTTAAGAAAACCATATACAAATATAGACTGAAAATATAACGCGTGCAGAGGCAATTTAATTTAGCGTAAGCTTCGCCGGCTCAAGAGCATTAGCCAGCCAAACGTCAATGGCCGTTTTTATACTAAGGACGTATTATCTGTCTGGACAAACTTGGGCAAACATTGGTCGTTCGTCTGGTTATGCGTCTCAAGTACAAAGACGGGCACAAGACGCTTTAAACGTCTGGGCGAACTTTCCTTCGTTGAACTACGCACTATGAAAGGTAGTTTGTCTGGACGCAAAATGCGTGTTGTGCCCGTCTTTATATTAGAGACGCATAACCAGACGAACTAAAGAATGTTAGCCCAAGTTCGCCCAGACAAATAATGCGTCCTTAGTATAAAAACGCCGAATGTCAAAGGCCTTTATTATGTTTTTTTATGAAAAAATACTCTCCCGCTTATGTCCACAAAACTCCTGCCTTCGCATTGTAGAACTACTATTTGCCATTTCTATATGACTTCATGTTTGGCCAATTGTGTGCGATCACGTGAGGATAAAGTTGGCATAATTTTAATTGAAAAGGAAAAAAAAAGCAAAAGTTGAGTATGAAACTTCCATTAGACCAAATAGACCATTTCCTTGGTAACACAACCAGGCTTAATCCCTCAGCCCCCACCCCCAGTACTAAATTCTATATCGTTATAGGTCGTGTAAGGAATACTTGGTTATTCTTTAAGTTGCAGTTAAAAAAAGGTGGGAAGCTATTTTTTCTCATTGATAATACAGTTTATTACCAAATCTCGTACATCTTCATACGTCCCTTCTTACATAAGTTGTTTTTCCTTTTCAACCCTTCCGTCATTGCATTTGGCTTAATGTGGAAGGTTATTTCCGGGATACACATTTTGTTCCTACATTATCAATAAAATGAGATGAAAATCACGAAAGTATGCACCACTCGTTATACTGGACTCAAAGATATATCATGTATAAGGTAACTTAACCATAAAAAAAAAAGAGAGATAAGTATAGCGCACAATAGCCTTAAACTGAACTTGCCTTTGATGAGGAGTGATCCCCAATCAAATCAGCGATACGAAACTGATCCTATAAACACTTGAATGCGAGCATTTGTCTGCCTTAAGCTTTTCAACTTATGAGATATTAAAAACGAGGAAGTAACGCAAAGACTCCGATTTTCTTCAATCACAGAAAAACGCAAAAGAATATCGACAAGCCATTGTTGTTGTTGTTGTTGTTGTTTTTTCTCTCTCTTCCTTTATTTCTTTATTAGATGCGAAATAAACAGTCAGACCTAGGAATAGTGTTACAAAAATAACACCTTTTTATCCGGTCCTATGTAGCTAAGACTTTTCTGACAAGTGTCATTCACATTTTTTCATCAATATCAAGGAGAACTGACGTACCGGCGGGAATCGAACCCGGGCCTCCCGCCTAGTAAGTGAGAATTCTACCACTGAACCACCAGTGCCTTGTTGAGCCAATCGTTGCCTTAATGAAGACACTCTGGTTAAATGTATATGATGGAAAAAACGAGGTCAAAAAGGGCATACAAATAATCCAGCAGTAAGTGCACTACCAGGGTCTGGGACACCTTCGTGAGATGACGACATAATACCTTCCAAATGATAAGCTTCAATTCTTGTGAAGGGATTTGACTGGTTTTTTTTTTATTTTTATTTATTTATTTATTTATTTTTTTGTCCTTCAGCTACCTGACTCTTTCCCAGTCATCTTTCCCTTTTCTCTACTTTCAGTCTCTTACGTACTTTCCTCTACATTAAAGAGGAAAGCGTGAGGGATTCACACCGGAGATACTGAAAGGAGGAAGAACTTCATTTCTCTTGCTTCCTTTCTTCCCTGATTGTAACTTTGCTCTTCAAGTTTAATGAGCGGTCATTAACTATTGGGAGGGGGGGGAGGGCCGGTATTATTTCAAAATCGAGGGCCTAATTCTTTTAGCCCCTCTCAGGTTAACAGCCCAAAAATCCAGCCCCCTCCAAAAATGTGTGCCCGAAAAATTGTAACCCTCCCCTGTAATAACATTTTGGGTATTCAAATGTTGCACTGTGAGAATCCACATGAGCGTAACTTTGGGACAATTTTTCATTGCAATAAAAAAGTGTTAGTATTCACAATATCTACAAGACCCAATTTTTTCTTTTTGTTAATTCAATAACCACACAACAGTTCAATACCCACCGAACAGTTCAATAACCACACCAGTAGTTCAATGACCAGACATTAGTTCATTGAGCGTAAAGTACATGTAGCCGCGGAAAAAATAGCCACAACTTCATTAGATATTTTTTAATTAGAATGTGTAGCATTAAGTAAGTGATAAATACTCATTTAGCAACGATACAAGAACTAAATTTACAAATAGCTATGGTACATTATTGTTATAAAGTTTTAGTGAGCTCACTAATATAGACAGGAACATAGATTGATGTTAATTAAGAAGTTCTAGTCTGCTCAGAAGGTCTGTCATTCATATCAGGGGCACAGTGAACAGACCTGGAAAGAGATTGAGCGTTGAAAAGGGAAAGCTAACTGGGTGCAGAGAAAAATTCGGAAACTAAATAAACCGACAGAGCGCGCGTTAATAAAGCACAAAACATAACGGTTAGCGGTGGATGAAACCTTGTTTTGACTCTCTTTCCGCAGGTTTCAAACTACTTGTGTGGCTATTGAACTGTTGTGTGCTTATTGAACTAACAAAAAAAAAACTAACAAAAAGAAAAACTTAATTGGTAAATAATGATGCCGGTGATGATGATGCCACTGTACAATGTCAGGAGGAGGAATCAGGAAGTGCCTTTGATATTCACTCGGGCAATGCAATGAAACCATACGACAGTGGCAGTTCAGATGACTCTGGCCCCTACTGGAACACATTCAAATGCGCTCCTTACTACTGAGTTTTGTAAAAGACGGATTAGTATAAACTGGACCACTATGAGTTAAAAAAACAAATACAGATCGAGTACCAGTCATAACATGAAAAAATACATTTTCAGTTATAATAACATGTCATCAACTATCCGTGCACCTTTGACTGCGGCTCGTTTTAAGAAGGGCTTTCATGAAATTATCTGCCTTTCAGATGTATTATAAGACAGGAAAAGCACATGACGATGACGCTGATTAAACAACAAAGCCAAACTAAAACCGTGTGCTGCTTTCAAAGCCATTTCAAAGTCAAGCAAATTGGAAGCGATTGGGCGTGAAGTCACTGCTCATCGCCAGCCAATCAGAGTGCTTTTTAACCGTGCGATTCAGCTTTGAGTATGCAATTCTGTTAATACTACTTCCACGGCCATCGTATTTCAAGCAGTGCTCAATATTTTAGTAGCACAAAACCCATTTAATAGTACGCGCACATCGCCCAAAGGCGCCCAGAAATTGTAACCCTCCCCTAAATGCGGGCCCAGAAAAATTTTAGCCCTTCCTAAATGGGAGCCCAAAATATCGCAGCCCTCCCCAAAAATTACCAGTCCCCCCCCCCCCCCCCCCCCCCCATAGTCAATGATCGCTCCCCTATAGTTTCGAGCGAACTTGACGAGGCGCTTCCCTGCGTTACTATCAGCGTCTATAAGAAACCAACAAACTCTCTCTTTTTTTGCGCACATGATCACCGCAAAAATTCAAAAACAGCCCAAAGGAGAGAGCCTCTGCAGAGTTCAAACGATCGCTTTTCTACTCTACGGTACGAGGTATTCCCATGGACTTTGAGTCCAACATGACTCGACAGGATTCACATCTTCAAAAATCGCTTTACCTTTGAGATCATAATCAAGAGCACTATCAAGCCTCCGCGTGGCAATTCTACCACTGAAGAGAGTGACCAGTGTATTTTGAGACCGACTCTTAATTGAGTAAACTACTAGTTATAGCACTTTCAGTTCTTTTTTAGTTTTCAGATTCTCACCTATTGTATTGACTTTATTGACGAGTCGCATAATATTAAGAAATAATTATCAACTAAGAATTTGTGAGCAATTGAAAATCATACTTACAATGGAATAGATTTGGCCAGAACTAGTAAACGATAGATGTTCAACTGTAATGTCTTATCAAGTCAATTTATCAAATTAGAATTAGAAATTGTATAGCTGGGGTTGTAATGCACATGAATAAACATCTCCTCTTGGAGATTTCCGATATCAAGGGAAATTGCAGTTGCAACATTGGTTTTACGATCACATACTGAGATTTTTATGGTTGTTCATTGAGCTTGGGTGTTTAGGTGCAATAAACAAGAAATAATTTGCAGGAGGAAGGATTTTGTGGAGGTCACGACCTGGATCTAAATTTTTGGCGTGGTAAAGAGAAAAAACAACGACGCTAACTGTATCAAAACTATCGAAATTTTGATGTTGTTGAAGTCCAGATTATGGATATCTATGTATTAATGTCCTTGATCTGACTGGTTATTCTCTGTACTCTGCACGCGTACGCGTCAATAAAAACCTGTTCGAATTAACCATGAGATTACTAACAAAGGAGATCGACTTTAGTATATTCACTTGTAAGAAACAAGAATTACTAGCAATGACCTGAATGTACGTAAAATAGTGTTTCAGTCCTTATCATGATTCAGTATTTCTCTTGTTTTGTTTTTCACTCTGTTCATCCTTGCGTAGAGCTCATTACTAATAACTTAAGCATCTGAACAACAGAAAAGAACCAGTCACAGACCAACCTTCAAGGAATGTAAAATATAAACACCCATTACCTTAAAATAATGATGAAAGAAAACAATCTAAAGGACTTGGCATGACTCGCTGGCGTTGAATCAAAATTCTAATTTAATACTTAACACCACCGACCTTGCAGAAGTAGATGCACTCTAAACATTTAACTGAGGTCATCTTGAATAGTTGGCATGTTAAAAACAGAACAAACTCGAACAAACTCGAACAAGGCATAATCAATACAAACGAAGCAAAAACTATCTATCATGTAACATGGTATCGACGTCTTAAAATTCTCTTTTGTTTAAATTACGCATTTTTTAGTCATATGGTCAGAACAAACAAAACGTGCATGTCCATGGGTCAGTGGGAAAATTATCTGATGGTGTAAAGATTAAAAATAGAAACCACACCTATGTTTTTGGCTTGTTTAGCTGGAGCTTGAACAAAATTTTAGTTGACTACTCACACGTACTGATTACCCACTTAACAAGGCCGGAAATTATTCAATAGGTGGCTGCAATAAATATTTAGCTGCTCGAGAAAGAAATAGAAACTAGGAACAACTTAGTAACTTTAAATATTAATGCCATAAATGGAAGTGCAAATAAGCAGGAAAACAAGATTGGAACTTAATATTGGCTATCCAATAAAAGAGCAGGAAGCACGGATCACAAAAACACAGCTAGTCTCGTAATGCTGCAGCATTTCGCTCTGCCGTTGATGCTTTGTATTTCTTCGGATTCGCTGGGAACAGCCACCTTACCTCATATATCTCTTTACTCTTGATAAAATGTGATTAAATTCCGTGAAAGTAAGGGTGACCTGTTTCTGCTAAACACTTTAAACAGTGACCTTAGAACAACACAAAGCTTCAATTCTTAATTTCTTTTTTGTTTTAATAACTCTACTTCAAATGGAAAAGGGAAAAATGTTTAGCTAAGGGGTTTCTTGGAACTTTTATCTAAAGCATATTGTAAATAAAAGGACTCGAAGATACACGAAAATAAGTAAACCAAGAAAATGATAAGTAACACACGACAGCTTCTTCGAATGAATGTGTTTGTTTGTGAGAACCATCGTATCAAACCAGCGATCCAGAACTGATCCCAAATCCTTGAATACGAACAGGTAAAACTGCTTTATTTTTTTTGCTGCCTTAAGTGGTTACGTCATGGTAAATGGAAAAGTTGCAAAGATGGAGAAGAGAATATCGATCAATAGTTTTAGTGGAGCATACGTTTAGTAGAGGAGAATTCCTATAAACACGCGATAAACAAAAGCCGAAAATAATTGTCCTACTTCCTGTAGTGTACATCGGATATCCCAGTCTGTGAAAAATCTTTTGTTCTATACCCCTAGTTATTACTGAATTAGCCAGATAACTGGACGATAACAATCTTTTCTGTAAATATTATTATCAATATATTATTATTATTATTATTATTATTATTATTATTATTATTATTATTAACTATTTTTATTTTAATTTTGTTTTTATCCACATTAAACATTAAAAATAAATATACCTTCCGGGAATCGAACCCCGGCCGCGTGGCAGACGAGAATTCTACCACAGAACTGGTACCAGTGCCCTATTAAAAACTGACTCGTTGCCTAAAAGAGGCATTGTGGTTTAATTTTTATGATGAAAAGAAAAAATGAAAAGGAAAACAAAACAAACAAAAACTCACAATAACAAATAAACAAAAAAGGAAAGGTACAAAAGGGTATACAAATGATCCAGGAGTAAGCGCGCTGACTTTGTAAGGGACGCCTTGGTGCGATGGCGGGCTATCCTATGGACTATTCACTTTAAATTCACTTTCCTATTTATGAAAAAGGAAAGTACCAAAGATTCACGAGTATTTAAGTAGTAATGAGAACGAAGGAAGCCTCGTTGGAGCGGATTATTGATCGACGAAAAAGAATACCAAGGCAGCTGGTTAGCGGGAAAATTGAAAGACTATTTAATTACTAATCCTTTTCTAGATAAACTGTAGAAATCTTTAGCGAAAGACTTATATTTTTCAAATTTCTACTCATAGTTAAATTTTCTGGAGGGACTGGAATTCTTTCCATTGTCTAATATTAAAATCTTAGTAATTATCATTAGACTATTGCTTCGATCAAAATGGAATTATAGTTGTTCTGGGCTACTCTTTGAGTACCTTTTACTTGCAGGCCAGTACATCTGGTCCCTATTATCTCTGAATCTAAAACAAAGCAACAACAGCCAAGTTTGAACTTGTTTAGAAACACGACCAACGTGCTGAGCAGGGAAAACTATGAGGAGGTTACGACTTGATACTTTTTGCGTGCTAGCAAAGAGAAAATTCATGTAAAAGCAACAATGAACGACAGCTATCAGCGCTAGCAAAATTTTGATGCTCTTGTAATTAAATTACTAAACTTTGTTTGCGTGCACGTTGACGAAAAAACAAAAAAGGTATTTCAGTTTAACTTGAAAATATTTGAATTCAAGAAACAGGCGGTAGACGGTAGATGCGCTTCTGTCTTTATCATGGTGAAGTATTTATGCCAATACCCTAGCAGGAATTTGGGGGGCTCTCATTGAAGTTTTCATTGAAGTCAAAACAGAGGTGACACTCGAGTGATGGAATTAATTGGCCACTTGTCTGAGTGGCAGTTTAACTGTCTGTCAAACAAAGACGCATTTAAATTAACAGTAGTAATAAAAACAATTTGTTATTTTTAGCAATGGTGGGGCTGGAAATTCGCCCAATTGCAAAACTAAATGATAACCGAACAGAAGGTCTCCCGACAGATGGCAAAGAGGGATGGAGGCGTAGGAAACATTTTTTTGCGCAGAGATGTAAGCGCCGAGGTGAAAGCAAGAGGGGGCGAACGCGGGAATGTATACAGTTGTACGCTCCTTTAATAGAGCGATGAAAATAATTACCTCCTGAAAGAGAGGTTAGGTTGACACGAGTCGGATGACGAACTATGCAGCGAGACAACAAAGACATATTACATTGTATCGACATAAATAACATATGATTATGCCTTGACATAACGTTTAATTTCAACTGGTTTTGGTGCTATTTATCCGTTTTCCCTCTTTGCTAAGACTTCATTACTTATGATAAATGCTTAGCAACAGAATCTTCAAAGAATATAGTTTATGAACTTTTTTAGGTTGGAGCTTCCGTGGCGCTGAATTAAAATTGTAATTTAATAATAACCCCCAACCCCCTGGAAGGGGGTGCTTTTAAGAGGTTGCAACCTTGAATTTTTTGCGGGTTAGAACTAAAAAAGAAAACGGGCCATCATCAAGAAAAATGAGGCAACAAATATCGTGCACATAACAAACTTTAAGTTACTTCAATTGGTTAAAATCACGCATTTGCTTCAGTACGATGTCAACGTTGTCAAACGTGCAAACGTATAATGAGATCGTTTAAAAAAGGTTACTGCAAAAAAAAAAAAATAGAACTCAAACTTGCAAAAAAAAAAAAAATCGAACTCAAACGAAACGTGCACAGGTAAATGATATGGTTGGTAAAAGATACGAGGTAAATGATATGGTGATTTAAATATATCATATAAAAATATTTGAAACTATACCCGCACGTATAACGACTCACTTTAAGAGGGAAGCTTGTTCTAGAGGAAAAACAAACAAATATTTCTACCATAAAAGGAAATGAAATAAAGAGGTAACCGCAACATTAAAACAAAAATAAAACAAATATTTGCTATTTAACTGATGAGCACGTAGCATTGATTTCAGTTATTGCAGTGCTTTGGTTCAGCTCTCATCATGGTTCAGTATTTCGTTGTTTTCTTGGTTTTCTCTTTCTCTGGCGGTTCACTGGGAACAACCACCTCACCTCAGCAACAAAACAACGCAAAGTTAAAAGATTTATGCGAGGTAAGAAACAATTATTCTGTTTTAGCTGATATTTTTGGGTCTTGGGAAGTGGGTGGAAAAAAAAATCGGATCAAAAAGGTCAGCACCGGAGTTTATATTGGCACAATAAAAATGCTACCTTCGACTCTTCTGTAGTTAAGTCTGCGTTTCAAAATTGGCCCCAAAGGTTGATCTCAAGGATTGTTCTGACCTGCCTATTTTAGAAAATTTATTTCGCAGTTTCTCAATAATAGACTGGTATATAGACGGCCGTAACATGTCAACTGAATTGAGGGCGGAGCTCTCCTTTTTGGCGTTGTTTATGAAGGCAAGCAGCAAAATGAAATGCGGGGAGACTGAGCTTTGTTTTAAAAAGGAATTTCTCTTTTCCACCACAAAACATCAAAATATATCGCTAGCTTTTAAGACTTTTTTGGCTTTAAAAATTTATCAGTAACTTATTGTTATTATTATTAATATCATTGCTGATATTATTATCGTTATTTTCATTATTATTATTGTTATCATCATTATTTGGTTACGCGTTGATAAAATCCTGTTCGAATCAACTAAAGAGAACTAATAAAGGAGATCGACTTCAATACATTGACTTCTAAGAAACAAGAATTTCTAGCAATGACTGCGATGAACGTAAAATAGTGTTTCTGAGTCCTTATCATGATTCAGTATTTCTCTTGTTTTGTTATTCACTCTGTTTTCTATTCTTGCGTAGAGCTCATTACTAATAACTTAAACATCTGAACAGCAGAAAAGAACCAGAACAAGATCAACCTTCAAGGAATGTAAAATATAAACACCGATTACCTCAAAATCATGATCAAAGAAAACAATCTAAAGGACTTGGCATGGCTTGCTGGCGATGAATGAAAATTCTAATTTAATACTTAACACCAGCGACCTTGCAGAAGTGGATACAATCTTAACATTTAACTGAGCTCATCTTGAATAGTCTGCATGTTAGAAACAGAACCAACTCAAACAAAGGATAATAAAAAAAAAACGAAGCAACAACTATCTAGCATGTAACATGGTGTCGACGTCTTAAAATTCCCTTTTATTTAAATTACGTATTTTTTAAGTCATATGGTCAGAACAAACAAAACTTGCACGTCCATGGGTAAGTGGGAAAATTGTCTGATGGTGTAAAGATTAAAAATAGAAACCACGCCTATGTTTTGGGCTTGTTTAGCTGGAGCTTGACCAAAATTTTAGTTGACCACTCACTCGCACTGATTACCCACTTAGCAAGGAGGGAAATTATTCAGTAGGTGGCTGCATTAAATATTAAGTTGTTCGAGAAAGAAATAGAAACAAGGAACAACTTAGTAACTTCAAATAGTAATGCCATTAATGGAAATGCAATTAAGGAGGAAAATAAGATTGTTACTAATATTCGCTATCCAATAAAAGAGCACGAAGTTCGGATCACAAAACACAGCTAGTCTCGTAATGCTACAGCATTTCGCTCTCCCGTTGATGCTATGTATTTCTTCAGATTCACTGAGAACAGCTACCTCACCTCATACATCTCTTTAGCCTTGATAAAATGTGATTAAATTCCATGAAAGTAAGGGTGACCCGTTTCTGCTAAACCACTTTACAGTGAGCTTAGAGCAACACAAAGCTTCTAATTCTTAACTTCTTTTTTTGTTTTAATGACTCTACTTCAAATGGAAAAGGGAAAAACATTTAAATATTGACTCGAAGATACAAGAAAATAAGTAAACCAAGAAAATGATTAGTAACACATGACAGCGAATGAATGCGTTTTTTCGTCAGAACCATCCTATCAAACCAGCCATCCAGAACTGATCCCAAATACTTAAATGCAAACAGGTTAAGCTGCTTTACTGTTTGCTGCCTTCAGTGGTTACGTCATGGTATATGGAAAAGTTACAAAGATGGAGAAGAGAATATCGATCAATAATTTTATCAGAGCACAAGTATAGTAGAGGGGGATTGCATAAACACGCGATAAACAAAAGCCGAAAACAACTGTCTTACTTCATGTAGTGTACATCGGATCTCCCAACCTGTGAAAAATCCTTTGTTCTATACCTCTTGTTATGACTAAATTAGCTAAATAACTGAACGATAACAATCTTTTCTGTCATTATTATTAGTATCATTATTATGATTTATTTTTTTAATCCACATTAAACTTTAAAAATAGATGCACTGGCCGGTAATCGAACCCGGGCTTGCCGCGTGGCAGTAGAGAATTCTAACACTGAATTGGTAGCCTTGCCCTTTATAAAAACTGACTCGTTGCCTTAAAAGAGGCATTGTTGTTGAATTTTCATGGTGAAAAGAAAAAAGGAAAAGGAAAGCAAAACATAAGAAAAACACGCAAAAGCAAGCAAACAAACAAAAAAGGCAAGGTAGAAAAGGGTATACAAATAATCCAGGAGTAAGCGCGGCAACCTTATCAGGGACGCCTTGGTGTGATAGCGGGCTATCTAATCTTTACTTATGGACTGTTCCCTTTAAATTCACTTTCTTCTTTATGAAAAGGAAAGTGCAAGAAATTCACGCGTATTTAAATGGTAATGAGAAAGAAGAAAGCTTCTTTGGAGCGGATTTCTGATAGACGAACAAAAGAACCAAAGCAGCTGGTCAGCGGGAAAATTAAAACACTATTAGTATTCCTTATTTCTAGAGAAACTGTAAAAACCTTTGTCTAGAGCTTACATTTTACAAATTTCTACTCACAGTTAAATTTCCTGGACGACCTGAAATTCTTTCCATTTTCTAAGATTAAAAAAAGTACAGAAAGAAAGACAAAGGAAAAAAACCTGGAATTCTGTTTCTTAGTTTAAAATAAATTATCATTAGTATAATTGCTTCTATCAAAGATGGAATTATAGTTGCTCTAGCTCGGCAACTCTTTGAGTATCTTTTACTCGCAGGCCAGTTTGCTGGTCCTCATTATCTCTGTATTTTAAAACAAAGCAACAACAGCCAAGTTCGAGCTTGTTTAGAAACACGACCTACGTACTTAGCAGGAGAAACATGATGAGAAGGTCACGACTTGATATTTTTGGCGTGCCAGCAAAGAGAAACTTCCTGAAAAAACAACAATAAACAACAGCTATCAGCGCTATCAAAGTCTTGATGCTCTTGTAATTACATTACTAAACTCTGCTTACGTGCACGTTAATAAAAAACAAAGATGAAATCTCAGTTTAAGCTTTGAAAATATTTGTACTCAAGAAACGGGCATGGCAGTGATAGTAGACAGTAGCTACTTGCGGAATAACGGTTCTGTCCTTATCAAGGGACCGATTCCCTAGTAGGAATTTGGATAGCTCTCATTGAAGTCGCAACAGAAATGACACTCGAGTGATGGCATTAATTGGCCACTTGTCTGAATAGCAGTTTAACTGACTGTCAAACAAAGACGCATTTAAATTAACAGCGATAATACTAGACAATTTGTTATTATCAGCAATTGTGGGGCTAGAAATTTGCCCAATTGCAAAACTAAATCATAATCGCACAAAGTTCTCCCAACAGATGGCAAAGAGGGACGGAGGGGAGGGTGAAAGCAAGAGGCAGCGAACGCGGGAATGTATACAGTTGTACGCACTTTTAATAGAGCGATGAAATTTATTGCCTCTTGAAAGAGAGGTTAGGTTGACACGAATTGGATGATCAACTATGCTGCGAGACAACAAAGACATATTACATTGTATCGACATAAATAACATATGATTGTGTCTTGACATGACGTTTGATTTTAACTGGTTTTGTTGCTATTTAGCCGTTTTCTCTCTTTGCTAAGAGTTCATTACTTATGACAAATTCTTAGTTACAGAATTTTCAAAGAATATAGCTTATGAACTTTGTCAGTTGGAACTTGCGCGGCTGGTACTGAATTAAAATTGTAATTTAATAATAAGCACCAACCACCTGGAAGTGGGTGCTTTTAAGGGGTTGCAACCCTAATTTTTTTTGCAGGTTAGAACTAAAAAAGAAAAGAGGCCATTATCAAGAAAAATGAGGCAACAAATATCGTGCACATAACAAACTTTAAGTTACTTCAATTGGTTAAAATCACACATTTGTTTCAGTGCGATATCCAAGTTTTCAAACGTGCAAACGTGTAATGAGATCGTTTAAAAAAAGGTTACTGCAAATGGAAAATCGAATCGAAACGAAAATATTTGAAACTATACCCGCGCGTATAACGACTCACTTTAAAAGGGACGCTTGTCCGAGAAGGAAAACAAACAAATATTTCTACCATAAAAGGAAATGAAATAACGAGGTGACCAGTAACATTAAAACAGGAACAAAACAAATATTTGCTATTTAGCTGATGAGCACGTAGCACTGATTTCAGTAATCGCAGTGTTCTGGTTGGGCTCTAATAATGGTTCATTATTTAGCTGTTTTCTTGGTTTTCTCTTTTTCCGGTGGTTCACTGGGAACAACCACCTCACCTCAGCAACAAAACACCGCAAAGTTAAAAGATTTATGCGAGGTATGAAACAACTATTTTGTTTTAGCTGATATTTTTGAGTGTCGGGCAGTGGGTGGAAAAGAAAATCGCATCAAAAAGTTCCACAACGGAGTTTGTATTTGCACAATAAAATGCTAGCTTCAACTCTTCTGTTGTTAAGTCTGCGTTTTAAAATTGGCCCCAAAGGTTGGTCTCACGGAGTGTTCTGACCTACCCAGTTTTAGACAATTTATTTCGGAGTTTCTCAATAATAGACGGGTATCGATAGACGGCCGTGTCATGTCAATTGAATTGAGGGCGGAGTTCTCCTTTTTGGCGTTGTTTATGAAGGCAAGCCGCAAAATAAAATGCAGGGAGACTGAGCTTTGTTTTTAAGGGAATTTCTCCTTTCCACTATAAAACATCTACAAGATATGTCGCTAGCTTTTAAGATTTTTGGGGGGTTTTAAAAATTGATCATTAACTTATTAATATCATTGCTAATATTATCGTTATTCTCATTATTATTATTATTGTTATCATTATTATTTGGTTATTATATCATCATCATCATTATCATTATCGTTATTATTTTTTATTATTATTATTATCCTACTCTGAAGAATTTGCATTCGTCACCATAGCCAAAGCTCCTACTATTAAGTGATTCTGAAGCATTTACATTCCTCAGCCGAGCAACTCTCTTTCTTAAATGCTTGCGCTTTCCCGACTTTTCCTTTTTTAATTTTAACCATTTGGGTAGCTCCGTGACAGGCGTTCCCTTGCTTTCACCCCTACCCCAGGGACTACTATTAATAACAATTATATGACACCATCCTTGCTATCTTTTTATCGAAAAACACTATGTCATGCCGACGATGTTCGACGCCGCGATCATCATCATCATCATCATCATCTTGATTACTATAATTATTATTTTCTTTTCTTCTTTCTTTATTTTGTTTTGCTTAGGGGGATAACTGGGAGTTCACCAAACCGTTTGTCAAGACCGCTTTCTTTATCAATATACGTAGCCTTACTAAAATAAGTCTTGATATAAAATTCCTGCTCGGTTATTTATTAAAATTTCCTGTTTCCCATACATTATATATGTTGACATGAATTTTGATTAAAACTTCTCGCCGATCTTCACTACTAACTGAAAACGTACGCTTTCATTCCCGCTTTGCCTATAGGCGTGCGGGCAATTTTTCGCCAGGGCGGGGTGGGTTGTGAGGTGCGGGGTAAACTATTTTCCCAAAAAAATCTCACAAGTTGCCCAAATTTTTACGAAACCGTCGAAAAGAAATAATGAGGGTCATACGATGCAACAACATAGGCCTACATATGAAGTGAAAGTATTCTTACATATGAATCTATTATATGGGCTCATAAAATACGTTAAAGCAAATAGCTGTCTTCGCCATTTTGAATGCCGAAAATATCAATGATACGAACCATGTCATTTGTTTACTGCAGAGTTGGCATATGCGCAATCAATCTGCGTAATATACTGAATGATCGATCGTGCTGTAGAACACATGCAGCAGGTATCACTCCAAGGATATGTACCACATTAGAAAACACTGGAAACATATCAAATACATTAGTCTCGTGCATTTTCTGCACATTTCTTGAACAGTCATTGAGCCTAATCTGCGCACAAGACGAAATCTCGCGTACATTTTCTGCTCGGCTTCGAGAATCTCGCCGTCGATTTTGTACAATTTAGCAACGCAAGAAAAGTTTTCTTTATCAAGTGTTTCACTGTGACAGATGTTTCCCAAAGCACAGAGTATTTCCTGATAATTTCCGCTAAACCTGAGATTACGCTTGGACAGCACTTTGTCGATGGACGCATAGTAAATGTTATTATTATTCATTCAAAATATTTCCACGATTCTGATTGGCTAAAAGCTCACGTATAATTCACGATACCAAGCTACTGATAACCAAGTTTTGCGTTTAATGAACCGTTGACGTCAAAAGTACAGCCTTTTTGCTTGTTAATGCACCGGTAACCGAGAAGACCTGGGGACGAGGTTGAGTCGTGTTGGTTGTGAAAACAAACATGGCGGACATGTCTCTCGTTTCAAGAGTAAGAACTAGGCGAAATAATAGCTAAAAACATGGCAAGAACAGCAAGAAGACAACTCGAAGGGCGAAATCTGCTATTTGGTGAACATTTGCGGAGCTGAACAACCTTAAACGTGGACTATCGAAGATGAACTTAACATCGATGGAGGTAAGCATGTTTTAGCTATTTTTTTTAAACTGGGAATTTTTTAACTGAATAATAAAACAATTATTGAATTCGGCTTTCCTATCATATGAAGAATTATGGAGATCTCGGAGGGTGGTATCCGCCTCGGCCTACGACCTCGACGGATAACACCCTCCTCGATCATTAATTGTTAAATATGGTGGTTAGCCTGCGCCACAGGCGAAACTGCGCCTATGGCTTTGCCTCTAAGACACTGCAATTACTCTCCCAGTACATTACCTCCGTTCACTGCTATGATATGCTATGGCTCTTCTTTTAATGACTCAACTTTACTTTCAGAAATCTATACTGAGTCATGGTTTTCCAGGCATTCCAGGGTCAAATGGCATGCCGGGAATGCCGGGCGTGCCTGGGCCGCAGGGACCCCAGGGAAGAGAAGGTCCAAAAGGACAAACTGGTGATAAGGGATCGCAAGGAGTACCGGGTCCAAGAGGAGACAGAGGGCGCGAAGGGCCACCCGGGAAAAGCGGACCGCCAGGAATCATGGGAACAAAAGGTGAATCGGGGCTTGTGGGAATGAAAGGAGAGCCAGGCATTGTGGGAAATCAAGGAAGAAAAGGAGACAAAGGAGAGAAAGGAGAAAGCGCCAAAGCAAGTCAAGCAAGTGTAGTACCACAAACCAACTGGAAACAATGTGTGTGGAAATCATCCAGCGGTGCTGATAGCGGAAAGATTAAGGTAAACAAGAAACGCCTTAAAAGCTAAACACGAAGTATGTATAAGTACCACAGACGATTATCACAGGTGGAAAGAGGTTTTTCAGAGATATTCTTTAAAGCACAGCAATGACCCCAACCTCATTCTCTCAGCCTCTATCCCCAATCAACCTTTCTCCAGCTGGCATTAATTTCTGTGTTATTTAGCATTATTACAGTTGCAGACGTGTTAATCGTTTTTTTTTTTTTTCGGTTTGTTTGTTTTGTTTTTTTGTTTGTTTGTTTATTTTCAGGACTGTGCTTTTAACAAGTTGAAGTCTGATACTGCGCTTAAAGTCTCATTTCATGGAGTCATGAGGGTCATAGGTGATGTTAAGTGTAATAGGTGGTATTTCAAATTCAGTGGAAATGAATGCAGTGGACCAATGACGATTGACGCTGTTGTTTACAACGACTGGTCATCTGGGAACCCCCAGCTGCTGCATCATCGTTCATTTGAGGGGTACTGTGAAAATATTCCACAAGGCGCGGTTAGAGTGGAATTATGGGTAGGAAAGTGTAGTGGCTACACCCTGGGAGACGCTTACACTGGGTGGATTTCAGTGTCCCGGATAATGGTAGAAGAAGTGTCTAGGCCCCAGTCCTAATGGGAGTCTCCTTACCTCGATTCCGGGTGACCGAGTTTTTTTCTTTTGACAACAATTCAAGAAGTTTATTTGCGCGAAACATGTTGAGGTAATTTACGTGGCTTAGATTTCAAGTGCTCAATAAGCTTCGCTTTTGTGCCTTGTTTTGACAAGATGGCATGGATCGTTGTAAGTCAAAGTAGTTGCGTTGTAAGTAAGACTAACTCGACTTTTGAACGTGTGACGAATCTGATAGTAATTACGGTAACCTGGAATGATTGGGGTGCGCTTAAAATGTAGATGTAACTAAAATAATAAAATAACAAAGAAAAGGGAGATTACTCTAAAACAACAGTAATAAACTTTATTGAACGTAGTCATCGTCCATCATTGATCTTATTGCAGTTAATACTCGGGATGAAATCGTTATGCTTCTCGGACTATACGGACAAATCAGCGCTTGCAAATGACATTGGGAAGTACTCTATTGCAAAAAAATCAGCCGATTGCGCGAAGAGCTTGACCAGGGTTATGTTCCGAATGATCAGGGTTATGTCCTGGATGACAGTGATGTAAATAGTGACTCTACAATTCCTCCGACTCGTATTGAAGCCTTTGAGCTGTTAGCCAAGGACGATATGCTTGTGCTCATTGCGAACTCTAGATCAACTTCCTGTTACCCCGATCCCATAGGTAGGTACTTACTGAAGCCTTGTAGGGAATTGGTTATTCCGGTGATCACCAACACAATTATTTGCTCGTTGGAGTCAGGAACTTTTGCTGACTGCTGGAAAGAGGCCGTGGTCATACCACTGCCAAAGAAACCGGGACTTAAATCTCTCTTCAAGAACTTGCGTCCTGTAAGCAACTTGGCCTATATTTCCAAGCTCACTGAGTGCGCAGTATTTAACCAGATATATGACCACCTTGTCCGGTCCGGTCTCTATCCGCTATTACAATCTGCATATCGCCGATATCACAGTACGGAAACAGCGTTGGTCAACGTTGCTAATGATATTCTATTGAATAAGAAATCGCAGCGTGTTACACTACTTGTCCTCTTAGACTTAAGTGCTGCTTTTGGCATCTTGGACCACGTGATTTTGCTAAAACGCTTGACCACTGATTTTGGTATAGGCGGGAAGGCTTTAAAGTGGTTCTCGTCGTATTTGTCCGGACGCAGCCCGCGTGTTTTGTTTGAGGGGGCTACATCTGATATCTTTGATCTGCCTTTTGCTGTCCCACAAGGCAGCTGTCTCGGCCCGCTTCTATTTGTGGTTTACGCCTCTAAGTGTAGACCTAAATGTAATAAACGACGCTAAATGTAATAAAGTCCTTACTGTAACAACATTTGTCCTAAATGTAATAAAGTCCTAAATGTAATAACATTTTGTCCTAAATATAATAAACTCTTAAGAGTGGCTGTCAGAGAAAACCGGGCAAAATGTTAAAAGTGTCAACGAAAGGGTGTCTACAGAATAAGTTCATACTAACATCATAGATAGGTCTGGTGGAGTAATGGACAAATATAACAAACATAGGTTCTTCACTGCTCTTGTATTGGAGATACGAGCATCACTTTATTCGACCCCCTCGGACGCCATTTTTGTAAGCAAATTTTCACCATTTTCTGAAACTCACAGAACCCTCAAAATTTAACGAGCTAAGTTTATTTTTTGCATGCGATACAACACATCACAAAACTACTTTCTAAACTCATTGATTTGTTAAGCAGCCACGGACAAGACTAAAGTTTTCTTATTTTATCTGACCTAAACTCAGTGTCTGCAAACGAGCAAAAAATCGGGCATTTTTGAATTGATCTACAGCGCACAACTAAAACGACAGAACAANAAAGTCCTAAATGTAATAACATTTTGTCCTAAATATAATAAACTCTTAAGAGTGGCTGTCAGAGAAAACCGGGCAAAATGTTAAAAGTGTCAACGAAAGGGTGTCTACAGAATAAGTTCATACTAACATCATAGATAGGTCTGGTGGAGTAATGGACAAATATAACAAACATAGGTTCTTCACTGCTCTTGTATTGGAGATACGAGCATCACTTTATTCGACCCCCTCGGACGCCATTTTTGTAAGCAAATTTTCACCATTTTCTGAAACTCACAGAACCCTCAAAATTTAACGAGCTAAGTTTATTTTTTGCATGCGATACAACACATCACAAAACTACTTTCTAAACTCATTGATTTGTTAAGCAGCCACGGACAAGACTAAAGTTTTCTTATTTTATCTGACCTAAACTCAGTGTCTGCAAACGAGCAAAAAATCGGGCATTTTTGAATTGATCTACAGCGCACAACTAAAACGACAGAACAACTCTGACAGCCAAATTGCAGTCTACTATTATCCATGTAGCCAAAACATTAATAATCATTTTGGGCCATTGAAACAGGAAGAAATTAGAAGACTCACATTTGTTATAGTTTCCAAGCTTTTTCTTGCAAACAGGTCGATCCCTTCGTGTTTGTTTTAGGTCCTCTTCGTGAATTTTCTTTCATATTTCGCTGTAAAGTATGTTACCTTTTCCATCATATTGATCATTGATAGAAGTTGTACACCTGGAAGTTTACAGCCACTAGGTTCCTTTTTGTTCACTGGATTTATCAAAAACACTCTCACTACGGTGTTTAACATAAATTCAGGGGAGACAATGATGACAGAAATGGAATTTACTCATCTCCTACGGAGGTAATTTCCAACGCCATTTCGTTTATTAATCCTTTCCACGGCGCTGTTGCAAAAAATGCGTGCGCGAATCATACGAGATGGCACAAAATGTGCTAAAAATAGCCATTTAATGGCTATGATATATATCTTTCGATGAAGTCAACCCCATTCCTGGAAAAGGTATCCAGGTACGGCCTACTACCCCGATTTAGATATATATGGCTCCTGGTAGAGAATAAAAACGTAATTTTGTGCAATTTCGCAGCGTAATTAGCGTTGCTAGATAACTCTGTCCGCCATCAGGAGACCGTAAACCAAAATTAAAACCAAAAATGTATGAGTTAAGACTACACGTCAGTATTAATATTCTAGCATGAGCCATTAAAATTGTTGAATGACCTTCTTCGCCTCAGATACTCGTGTCAGTCAAGTGTGAATCGACGTCCGCCATTTTGCCTTTTTGTTCAAAAAAACCTCTGACCTAGCAGCCCGGCTGCATCTAGCGCCCATCATCTGCCCCCAAGGGATGAAGATCTGGCTCTTTTTTCATAGGAAATTCATAAATTGTCTACTAAAACACTGTGCAAGATGGGAGCAAGGCCAATTTAAGCACTAAAAGCTGCTCAGGTATCTCAGAATTGGAAAAAAAATAGTAAGAGAAATTGCTCCGAAATTATGCAAAAAGATGCTTGAAACGAAAAAAGTTGCTCGAAATACTAGAAGTTGCCAAAAACCCTAGGGAGAAGTGGGGGGGAGGGGTGTGGGAGGTTACTCAGTAAAGCTTTGTTCGGAGAGGCTTCGTCCGAGGTCCAGTCCCTTACCCTTATATATACTATTTTTGACAAAAGGTACCCCTTTCGTGTATCTTTCTTTGAAAAGTTGTATCCTTTTCATATATATGCTTCGTGAGAATATACCGGTAAGAAAGGAGGTCTTCCGGTCATTTTCGTGTAACCTTTAACTGAATTAACATGTAAATGATATTGCCATAAAGCGTGTTTCTTCGACGCATTTTAATCAAAGGCCCTTTAAAATACTTAATGAAAGATTTTCCTCTCCACTACCCTTTGTTACACCTGATGCTTGAAAGAGGTACCCATCGGGCGAAGCCTTCCAGACTATGAAAAGTGCATCATGAAATCATGAACAGGAGATGAGTGGACCTTCGGACATGGACGGTGATTGAAGACTGATGCAATAATAGATGATACAATAAAGAGTCCAAAGAAACGCTAAGAGTTATACAGGATAACTCAAAATGAAGTGAATGAAGAGCAAATGAAGACTGAATAAAGTAATGCCAATTGGTCACCTGTTCAGCACACCCTATCACTCCTCCAAAAAGAAGAAACACAAAACAAACCAAATTTAACTAAAAGTAGTGATTAAGGAAGAAATAGGACTGTAGTAGGTCGCTGATAAGCCGGTTTGTTTGTTTGTTTTTGTTTTTTAGCTGTTTGGTGATTCATCTTTGTACAAGGCAGCTACTAGTGCCAGTCCCTCCTGAGTGCTGAATTTTCAAGATGGCGTCGCTTTCTTATTTTCTAGTTTCATCCTATCGTTCAGCTTCAGGGCGGAAAAACGTTCTGCGCAAGCTTCTGCGCATCCCTTATCGCAGGCTCAAGGCGGGCTTTTCTGTGTGTTGACTGTGTTTGTTTGTTGCTGGAGTTCTGAGTGAAATGCACGAGGTGCGAACGTTTGCTCCCTGTAGAGCATTTTTATTGTTTGCTTTTTTTTCGTCGCTTGAAAATTACTTTGGATTCAGAACAACAAATGTTAAAGGAAAAACGGATCATTCTGTCAGTCTGAGGTGGAATAAAAGGTTTTGAACATTTCTTAAGAGGCGAGTATTTTTCTGATTGTGCATCCGATTAATTTATGAGTTGATTTCGCCGGGTTGAATTAAAACCCGCTTGTATTCTGTTATTAGTAGTTACGGTTACTTTTTTTACATACCCAGATTTATTACCTCCGAGAACCAGCTTTATCTTTGTCTTCAGTCAAAGAACCATATTGCTGCTATAACGCATCAGAGTGAACAAACTTGTGCGCTTATTAAACTTTCTCGGAAATAGAAGGCCAGCAAGCTTACTCAAGATCATTTTTCTGTTCCTCAAGTAATAATAGTCAGAGTTTTTTTACTTTTCATTACATTTTTTTTTTCCAGTGCACTGTGAAAGTTTCTGTTCTTTATAAGAATAACTTTCTGTACGCAAATTGTCCTTTTCACTCGCTGTGAAGTAGAGACCGACAACTGCCGGCAGTGACTTCAACTACAATTCACTCTTTTCCCGTAAACAATTGCTGCCGCTTGTTTTGACTGAGGCGAG